ATTACAAATTATTTTTATTACCTACTTAAATTACTTAAAATTATTCACATAATATATCAGTATCACTATCGCTATAATCGCCTGTTCTAATTATTATTTGTTCTATATTACTTGCAACATGCATATACGATTGTTCTGTTTAACAGAATTTGCCCAACTTTGTGGAGGAATGTTAAAAACTTCGGTTTCTATAAGTTTGAGGACATTGGAGTTAACAGGGGGAAAAACACTGTTACGAGGAATGGCAGATTTCAGTTGGTGCCTAACATGTTCGATGGGATTAAATATACAGTGGTAAGGTGAAAGCTTTAAAACTGTATGCCCTAGATTCTTTGTATAATTATCACAGACATATTCCTTTTGTAGGTTCAAGCTTTGCAGAACCTCAATTAAGTCTTTTTTGCAATAATCTAATTTTAATAATCTAAATTTAAATTCCGAAACTTTAGGTAATAATCTTGCTGCATTGTATGTTAATGACCACCCTTGGATAATCCCATTCAGAAGCAATTGGTCACTTATATCTATGAACAGACCATACCGTCGTCAATTGTCTATCGACGGTGAGATTGATTCATTAAATTATATAACATATTCAGAAAAACGCGTCGCAAACCTAAATGTGGTATTCCTCCACAAGGTTTCCTCTCTCGTTCCCGTTGTGTTCAAATAATCTCGTCCCTCCACGGTGGAAATCGTCTCCAAAAGTCGCACCCACACGGACTTTTTGAAGTAAGTCCTCGCCAACGTGACCATAGTCGCGATCAACCCCATCAAGCCGGCCGCCGTCGCCAGGAAGCCGGTGATGTCACCTGGCGGATGCTCTTCCTTGATAGATTTGGCGAAAGTATACGCGACCGCGACTAGGAAAATCATCCGAACGATCAAAACGGCCAGGTGGAGCTTTTCAAAGATCACCCTTTTGGATCGGAAACTGTAAAACGGCACGATTCCCACCAAGCTGCCGTGCAACGCCATCGGCTGCAAGAACAACACGCATTTCCTGCTGTAATCGAACCGCATGACGAACGAAATGGCGATGTTCGATTCCGACTTAACATATTGCCAGCATTTTAATTATTCTCCTGGGCACTTATGCTAATCGGACACGCGCTATTTATAGTCGCATATAAAAATCGATGGGAATATCTATCTACTCAGCAAATAAAAAGTATTACTTCACTGCTGAAACTTCGTGCATGTATTATTTCAATTGCTTCAATAATTAATAATACTAGTATGTCTTCAATTGATTAATTGACAGAACCTATCTTTTATAAGAAAATTAAGTGCTAGCAATAATAGAGAACGAGTATGGATATCCATGCAGTAGTAATATCAGCTACTGGGTAATTATGTGCCGTTCGAAGCTATTTTAAAAAATAATCGATAATGATAAACAACAGAATTATATTACAATTTGACACATTAATCACCATACTAAATAAAGCGAGCATCCTTTTTTTTTCATTTAAAAAAATTTAAAAAGTGATTGAACTGATATGATTCAAGAGAAAGTGAGTTATTTTATCACTTACTTTTGATCACTTCAATCTTCTTCTTCTTAAAATTCCATCTTCTATCGAAGGTTGGAAACCATCATGGCAATGCGGACCCTGTTGACAGCCGCTCAGATTTCTCAGCCAGGATATTCTTCGCGTTCCGACACTTCTTTTTCCTCGGATTTTTCCCTGTCCCAAGTTTTCGTTTTTTGATTGTCACCAGAATTTCCGGTTCACATCCCATCCTTCTGTGCACCTCAGCATTTGAGACCCTTTCCGTCAACGATATCCTCCGGATCCTTCTGTAACACCAGAGCTCAAATGCGACCAGTTCATTTATATGCACCTGCTTCGGCGTCCATGGTTCCATACCATACAAAAGGACGGAAAACACCTAACACCTGAGCATTCTTAGCCGCAGAGTCAAACTTAGGTCTCTGTGCTGCTTCAATTCGGGTTTTTATTTCCTTGGTGTGGTCAATGCCCGAGGTCATCCACGTTCCCAAGTATTTGTATGAGTAAACTCTTTCGATGATGGTGTTGTTTATAACTAAGTGGCAGTTTTTGCGTGGTGATTTAGTGACGACCATACTTTTTGTTTTGTTAAGGTTGATCTTTAACCCGTATTTGTTGCAGCATGTATTTATTCTATGCATTAGATTTTGCAAGCCGTCGATGTTATGTGTTGTGATCACTGTGTCATCGGCGAATCGAAAGTTGTTGAGAACTTCGGCGTTTATCTTTATCCCCCCTCAGTATTTGGATGTCCTCGGTATATTGATCGTCTAACCTGATCCTAGCTGTTTGGTTCCAGTACAGTGTTGATATTATATTGATGTCGCTCTTGTCAATGTTTTTAGCCATTACAATCTCTTTTAGTTTTTCATGTTTCACCTTATCGAAGGTTTTCTCGAAATCAATGAACCCCAGGTATATATCTTGGTTCATATCGAGACATCTTTGAACCAACACGTTTATACCAAACAGTGCCTCTCTTGTACCCATTCCATTACTAAAACCAACCAACTTCAATCACATAGAGAGAAAAGAACGCTTCAGAATCATCACTTTGTTTGATCAATTGTTGTCTTCTTTTTTTTTCAGATTTTTTTTTGCGATTATGTCAGAAAGCGCAATCTGGTGGTAAGCATTCAAAGTTGCCTCACTCAGAGCATAGATGACAGCCTAGAAAAGATCTTTTATTAAAAAGTTTAACGCTTTTTGGATTGATCTAGTTATTTTCGACACCTCTCTCCACTTAGATTGAGCAAATAGCCATAAACAAAAGGATTTGAATTTGTCTCAGCTTTTAAATAATACTCACTCTAACCATGATATTAATAAAAAAATATTTTGCAGAAAATGCAGCGAATTTCTAGAGCCGTCCGTTTCTTTAATACCGTACCGCGTTACCCTTATTGGGACACCTGGTATACAATGCTTTTTTTAAGTAATTTGGAATTTTTGAATATGCCGTCGGTGGTTCGTTATTTTGGAAATTTTCAAAGTGTTCAAAAGCGGCCCTTTGCGTCTGTGATTTTGTGGCAGTTTTGCAAAATGATTTGTTTCTTACGTTTTTTTATATGAAATGTGAAAATGAAGAAGAAAAATATGAAGGAAATATGGAAATCGATTAAATAATATTTACGATCTGTTACCCTTGGATATATTCACTAGAAGAGTCTTCCACTCTCGAAGAAGTACAGTACTTCTTTCATTCGATTATTATTATTATTGTTTATGTATTTAACCATTTTATATATATGATACAAAAGCTTTCAAGATCGTTTAATTATCTTTATCTTAAAACTAAACACACTCTATAAATTTTTTCGACTATAAATGTCAAGTTAAAAAAAATTTTGTCAAAATTCAAGTTAAAGGCTAATAGGTTACTACATAAAAAAAATAGTAACGAGTTTATTTTGAAAATTCATTGTGGATAATGTTGGGATGCACCTAATTTAAGCTATCCTGTCTCTCTGGCAGCGCGTGACTGGTTTAACGACCACTTATTTTTCGATATCGAGGAGTATGCAGCTTTTTTTTGCTTTGTTAATTATACGAAATTAACTCTGATCGTCGGACACCCAAATAAAACGTGACGCGTCCACCTAATCACCGATGGAAACGCAAATCTGGACCACCCGCGGATATTTCCTTAAACTTATGAATTTCTGCAAATTATGCGTAATTTGTTTGATAATTAAAAAATTAGAAGACGCGCGCGGCTTTCGTAAACACCTGGCCGATAAGAGCGAGCTTTCCCACGGTACGATAAGATCCAGTTAAAGCCAGGACGTCTGCGCAGGTCATCGCGCTGTTAGGTACGTACCATTTACGACCAGCACAAGTTGGAAAGTCGTTGGTCCAACGACTCACAGGCGAAGTCTACAGTTTCTACATATACGAGAGCTACCTTTTATATGACTGTATTGTTTCTCAAAATATTCACCCTGAGGATCAATATACTTTTGCATTCCATAGAACCAATCATCAAAGCAGTTTTCCCACATCGATTCGGGCACCTTTTCGAAAATTAATTATTTAATTAATTAAAAATTACACTAAAAATGTGAGATTTACATTGACTCACCAGAAACTTCACTTCTGGGCTGACCATCAGCCCACCAATTAATATTAGCCGTCCTGAATAACTATCATAAAATTTCAATCATAATTTTTAATGAATTACGCATTTAGGCATTTTTCCAGAGTACATTGTTCTCATTTATAAAATAGAAGAACTTTCCCACGTTACAAATTATAGACCTGGATCTATATTAAGTTCCATACCACAGTTGTTTTATTATTTATTTTATTTATATGGGTTGAAGCTGTTTACACAGATTTTTGCAAAGCATTTGATAGGGCGAATCATGAAGTGCTGCTTGCTAAAGCAGTTACCTCGGGGGTGCCTCAGGGCTCTCACTTAGGGCGGCTACTGTTTCTCATATTTATAAATGATATAGCTGCCCATAATGCTAATTACCGTCTTTTTGCCGATGACCTAAAAGACTTCTCGATTATTGGAATTCGTGAAGATCAGGTTCTGTTACAGGAGGATTTAGAATGGTGTCACTTATTCAAGTATAGATCAAAATCTCTCAACATGCCTCACCGCGTCCGTGATCCTATAGAATATGCTTGTATGGATGAAAATCTAAAAACGGTACCGATATGTCCCACATAATTTCAAAGGCTTATAAAATATAACTCCTATAATGTGCTCTGGCTTTTATGTAGAATTAGACTCTGTCCTTAAAATGAATAATAAATAAATAAAATCTCCCTGCAGGTAAAATTTATCCATTTTTCGAGAATAGCACTACTGGGATATTAAGACCCCAACTCCTTGACAAAACAACTCCCACGTTTTCCGATCGAGGCGAGTCGCCGGCACGTAACCGGCATCAAACCGACTCCCGACCAGACCAGCCTCGACGTCATTAACCGCGACGCCATCCAATAAATCAGCGATTTCCGAACGAACGGCGGAACAGTCAATCGCGAATGGTACGTCAATAATCATCAATTAGGACGGTTCCTCGGTGTGATATCGTCGAATACAGGTGTTTTTCGGGAACAGGTGCGAAACGGTTGGTGGTCTCAGGACGGCATCGTATAAAACAAAACGACCCAACCTCGTAATAGCAAGCAGAGTCAAGAAACTGCACCGACCCGAACATGATCGTCGCCACTTCGTTCCTGCTCGTTCTGGGACCTCTTTCGTTGACCCTGGCGCTCAGGATACCACCTAATCCGTGCCCGGACGTGTTCAGCTACAACAGGGTGAGTTTCGGCAAGGAGGTCTTCGGCCGGGTCCAGATTCCGTACGACGGCGCAAGCAAGTTGAACTTGCACCTCAACGCGTCTTTCGCCGGCAGTTTCGAACGACCCAACGTAAGTGTATTCGTCGAATCTTAACAGCTGTTAAAATGCACGTATTTTTAACTGGTCATTTTTGTTTATCATAGACACGATGCAATTTTTCTAGCACAATGGGCCTGATTATTTTGGTGGAATTTTGGTTTTACAGGTTGTCCGTTGCATTTTTATACAATAAACAATACATTTTCAAAATCTATAATCCCAATACTAAAAGTTTCTGTGCGGGGTGATGTAAGGCAGCAAATATCAGACATGTGATTCTTTTTAATGGGCTTGACAGTCCTACGATTTCGAATGCAAGAAAATTAATACACAGGTAAGAAAATTTAAAACAATAAAACAAAATTTTCAAAAAAAAACAACTTACGCTGAGTGTCCTCTGGACCTTTTTTATGTTATGTTATTTTCTGCCGCAATATTAAATTTCCGGGGGTGGGGGGTGACGTAAAGCAGCAAATCAGACATGTGATTCTTTTTAATGGGCTTGACAGTCCTACGATTTCGATAGAGTGGTTATCATTATTAACCAAGTAAAACCGAAAATGGTCTTGCAGTGTTGATGGCATTTGGTAATTTTTTTTAATACCTAAGCCATTTTATTTTTAACTCCGTCGGTTTTGTTGAGACAAATTCTTTACTGTTCATTTCAACTACCTGAAATGAGTTAATAATAAATAATAATAAATTAATTTTTTTCTTCATTTTTACTGTCCAAAAGCCAAAAACTTGTGATCAGTAAAAGATTTAGTCGTTTCTGACTTTTGCACAAGTTTAAATAAAGATAAGTTTAGTTTAATATTACGGTTTTGATCTATGAAACAGTCAGAGTACGTAACAATATGGCTATAAGTGGTAGGATGTTCTTTCAGAATTTATTTATTGGGAACAATTGCAAAATTAATTCACCGGCATATATCTTTAGCTATTGGCCTAAAACGAATATTAAAATGTGATGGTACATCTGGTTTTGACCTCCCTTGTTAGCATTTTTCCTTATAGAGCTTAAACATTTTTCTGACGTTTTAACTGTGGTTTGTTGAGGTAGTTAAAACATATTTTACTGATTTTGATTTCGGTGGTCTTAAAGAATTCCTAGCACGACGCTGTTTAACAGTTTGAATGAGAATGAGAAGTATCTGAAATTTTAGAGGTCAAATAACAAAAGTCAAATAAACCTTGATAATGTAAATATTTTTGCAAGAAAATTTACCAGACCCATGTTTATTTTAGCAATTTAATCGCTTTAATTAAAAATTATTAAAAAACAGTACTAAAAAGCCGTCACATGAACAGTTCATATTTATTCTTAAAATTAGGAAATCACTTACCAGAACCCTCGTCAGAATCAGTTGACTTCTCCTTATTTTCTGCTGTATATTCTGATCCACTATCGGAGTAGGGGTCATTCTGGTCATTTTCTATCGATTTTCGATATATGCAACGTAAAACCCGCTAAAAATTACATTTTAGCACCGAGTTAACATAAACAAAATTACTTGCACCGATTGACATCTGAAATATTTGCATTTTTATTCGGTAGTTACAATACCCTTTTTGCTGACATTGGCAAGCAGAAACTTGGGCGTTTTGCCTAAATATGACCTATAAGGCAATCCTTACAGGACTCAATTTTAAGAAAATATTGACATCAACTGAGCACTCCAAATGTAGCAGCAAAAAGAGAGACCTGATGCACAAAGTATGAGTATAATTGGAATCTAACTTTCCCTCGTTCTCTGATACTAGATCAACATATTATAAAAGTCTTAAAAGAATTAATATTGATATTATGCGCCCTCATAGTCTTGTTGCAAACCTAGCACTGTCTACTGTTTTTTAATAGACACCGTCTCGCCAGCGATCCAATTGGTAGAAGACTCAAACCTTCAAAATACTATTTGCAAATTAATTTCCAAATAACCTAAGTCTTTACCAAAAGTTTTGATTCAGAAAACGCGGGACGTCTTATCTTTGTACGAGATTGGGGCAAAATAAATACCAACTAAATAAAAGTGTTAACATAAAATGTAAATTATGAACCCTTACAGAAAGGACAATTTGGTTTAAACAATGACATGCGCCATGACGAGGGCTTTGTGTTTGCGGTTTTCGCCTATCGTACAGGGTGCGCGAGATAATAGAAAAAAACCTAGATGGAAATCACGCCAAAATCAGGATTAAGACTCGAATAGTAGGTGTACTAATAATCTACGACGTGTACAAAAGTTCGCGGAAATATACTACACGGATCGCCGTTCCGCGAACTCATTTTCTGATGTATTGTCCGAATCTTGCGAATCAATAAAAAACCGTTATTACATCACACACGCTGCTGTGTTTGGCTGGCAGTGTTTGGGACTATCGATATTTACCGGACTTTCCAATGATACATTGCCGATCTCTTCACGTCGTTCTCAGCGTAATAATTTTGATTCAGAACGTCCAGATCAAGTTGACGACGCCGCCAAATCCGGCAACGTCGGGCTCGACGAAAAAGCTACTCTACAACGTATACTTCCCTTACCAGGACGTCATTCCCAGGATAACGCTAATTAGGTACAATGGGAAGGTGTTTTGCGCGGGACCTCAGGAGCCATGTAAGCCATGTTCATAGAACTCCAAATGAGAGGCGACAGTAAGCTCTACACTGATTCATTTTAACCTAACAAAATTGATTTTTAAAAGTAAATTAAGGTACATCTTTTACAATACAATACTACAATAATACAATACACACAATAATATTGTGGATTAAGAAGTTGTAATTTTTTATATCCTTATAGGTATTATCATCAACTTCATGCAACAAATTCAATCTTTTTGCGATATTTACACAAATAACTATTAACGTACGATGTATTTTTAATTTTATTTAATTGTTTTAATGAAAAACAATACTTGAAATAAAGTAAAGTAAAGAATAAAAAATTTCATAATTCAAATGTTTGTCTGTCATAACGGCCAGAATTTTTTATTAATAATAATATCGTTACTTACTTTAATAATTATTAGTAAATTAGTTAATGCTGAAACCAGATTTTCTTTTTTCCTTCTTTCCATCACTAATGTTTAGATTTTTTAAAACTTTCACGCACCGAGCTGGAAACGATTTAAACATAAATTTATACAATATATAATTAAGACAGATAACCATCGGTTTCCGTCAGGATATTTAAATATTTTAAATTAACGATATCATTCCAAATTAAATTTAATAAACTTTTCTCTTACCAATTAGTATCTACAGGAAAAAAGATTAGACACAATGTTATATAAAAATAAAAATAAAATAAAAGATCACAATCTAAAAACTAAGAGAGACACTCTGACTTCGACACTTCACAACGTGAGGCGACCTATAAAAATGGGGCTCCATAAACAGAATCTGAGATAGCAAAAAGGTGCTTCATAATATTCGGAAGTTTGTAAAATTGTCACATAAATTTCTAACGACTTACTAAATTAAATGAATGTGGCGTAATAAGGGTCGAGAATACGCACCCTTGAATTAATCTAACAGCTGATTTTAATATTAATTATATAATTTGGCTTACATTAATATAGCAATTTATAAAATATTTATATATTATAATACCCAAGATTATATGACGAATTAATTTTTTAATTAATTCAACCAACATTAAAAATGGTAACAAAAGTGTTGGGGTCCTATTAAGCTAAGCTAGATGACTCGTTCTATTGGAAGGAATTAATCAAACCCTAAAATTGTTTAATATAATAAAAATGATAATAAAATTAATGTTGGTTGTTTTATATTTAAATTTTTAAATATTTTTTTTACTTTCGACGTTTATATCCGGGACCGCCGATCATGCGCATCGCCACCGTCGCCTCTCGTTGGATTGTAGCTCTCTGTCTTGATGCCACTAGTTCCGAAGTATATTTTGTAGTAGTGTCGGGCACGGCCGGCGTGACAAACACGTGGACCAGTCACCAGTACTTTTTTTTCAACGACCGAGGGGCCGCCCAAAACGAAGCCGAACCGCCTATCGAATCGGAAATTGACGCGGCCAATTTGGACCAAGACAAGTTGGTCCCAGTCGGTGCCGATTCGGAATTGGACCTCAAAAGGTTAGTCGAGTGAAGTCGACCAGGATGGAAATATAGTTAAGCTGTTTTATTTCCCGCGCCGCGCGCATAGACCGCTTGTGATATTTTTAGTTTAGAACCAAAAATTGTTAAAAAAAAAAAACACTCGCAGTTTTTGTATCCCTAAAATGCGCGCGTCCAATTTTGTGACTGACGTATGTTGTATATTTTGTCTAATAAAAAGTTTAAGCGTTCTTAACAGGGACGTTTTAAAAACTTTAAGGCATTTTGCGTTGTGGTTTTTCAATAATAGTAGTAGTAAAAACTAGAAGGGCTGAAAAATCTGAAAGTAACCTGTGTCTTAAGCAGTTAATCTCTTTATATATTACATGGCAATTTTGAGGCCTGCAAATGCAAAGTGCGCTTAGTAATTTCCCTTTTCTTTGGATTCTGCTGAACATAAAAGACACATTACAGCAACAGGTTGAGAGACAGAATTAACAAAAATGCAAATTTTCACTTATTTAAAAAAAAATAGTGATTGACGTGGCAAGTAGTAGAGAAATGTTGTGTTGTGTTGAACGGCCCTTCTCAACAATTTCTGTTATGATCACTTCAAAAGTTCCTGTATGATCAGCAGGACCTCTATATACATATGTAGAAACTATATGCAACTTACTGATCCAGCAAAGCGGATAATGCAATAAATCAAACTAAGTATTCGAAAAGAAATAATAAATATGTATTATTTTATACAGACTCTGATATTTAATAATAATATATAATATAATAATATTGATTGGCGAAAACAGTCATTATAATTTATTTTAAACAAATTTAGAGTTATGAAAAACAAGTTTAATTTATTTTTGACATAAACACAAAAAAATAATAAAACAAAGTGAAACATACCAAGAGAAGACAAGACAAGTACAAGACCATAATACTAGAGAACTGAAAAAGAAAATACTTTAAATATTTTTCTCAATAAAATGAAAAACTATAAAGATTAAACTTTTTAAAGATGAGGTTTCGAATTTTTGGTAGTTTTTGATGCACAATTCAAGCTTATTACATATTCTCTGGAGTCTTATTGCATAAGTGTAACATGTAGACGTAGATAAAAAGATAGATACGATATTCTACGAAGTGTAGCCCTACATATCTTCTTCCGCCCATTGTAGTAAAGTAGATATAAGCTCTGGGGCCGACTGTTTCACATGTAGATGAGATCTGGTCAATTATGAAAGTCCTAAATCTCAATTCACCGAAATTAATCGAAAAAACAAGCCACTGATCGAAAAATACCAAATAAAATACCATATTACTGACATATACATTACTGATTCGTAATGTATATGTCGTAGGCGTATTGTAAAACCAGGCATTTTATAATACGCCTAGGCTTTTTCAAAATGACTGGGCATATACGCAATACGACCGAAAATCTTAGGCTTATTATGAAAATCCTGAAGGATATTAGGCTAATTGTGAAAACGGAAGTATTTTACAATTTGCCTGGTTCGATTTAGGCGTTTTATAATATGCATTAAAATGAGCGTCAGGGTTAAGAAAAAGAATTGCAGTTCTTGTCTTGATATCGTCCTATTCCGCTGATCTCGTCTCTGGAAAACCATCGATTACGGAGACCGTGTTTTGTGCCGATCTGATTTTTGTGCTCCTAAATAGTTCCAATTATATTTTTGGCACCCTGCCTAGTAAGATGCGTTCTCTTGCCTTTGTACAAAAAACTGCGAACTGACAATTTTAGAGTAAGCCTAACTGAGGCAAATGCGTATTAGCACCACCCGCTACGAGCGTTACCACTACTTTGTAGATACAGATGAAGATACTGAAAATGATGCCCAAATATATTGATGGATGGGAGGACTGCGGTTAGTGGTTAATATAAACCATATAAAAAAATCGCACTATCACAACTCATAAATTCCTATCACTATCAGCGCAATCATTATTGCCGCATAGAAGTGAAGGCGAGTATATTTAAACAATTTTCAATTTAGCTATAAGACATGATAGATGGAGTGGTTGAATAATTAATTATCTTCGGATTATCTGGAATTGTTCTAAAAAATGATACCGAAATTTCTCGTTACCTTGCACAGTAAAAGTATCGTTAGTTTGGACGATCCTTAGTACCGTTACCATCACTAACGGTGGGGGGCTTTTTTTCCAGCAATGGCAAAGAGGGAGAATGCGGAATCGCGTCTACCGCCATCGTCCCTTTGGTGCTGGGCGGGGAGGAACTGTCCGACGGCGTGTTCCCCTGGTTGGTGGCCATGTTTGTCGTCAAAGGCAACGGATACGAGTACAAATGCACCGCTAATTTAATTTCCGACAGACACGTGGTCACAGGTAGATTTGCAGAATTATCTACGCGGTGTGTCAAAAAAACCTCAGTGCTTTTGATTAATAAGGATATCAAAAATCATTTTTACCTGAATGGAATTTAGAACACGGTCTGTGTTACTTGTTAAAACACCACCATAACTCCAAGCTATACCTTTTTTACGGAAAACTGTTTAAACAGAATTATTTTTTTCCAAAAAAATAAAAATGTCCATCTAACCGACGTTATTGTTTAATATTCTATTTACTCTGAAAAAAACCTGTATAAATTAATCGTAATACTTTAATTTGGTACAGCCGCCAGGTGCGTGCAGTACTACAAAGTACGGATAGTAAAAACGGAGGATATTTTGTTGGTATTCGGCAAGGCTGACGTGGGTCGGTGGGCCACCAACGGCGCCATTACGAGGGAGGCGAGCGACGTCCGAACTCACCCCGAATACGACCAAGGCGGCGCGCACGGAGACGTTTGCGTAAGTCGCCGTCACGCACTGTTGGTACATCTTTCAAATCAGCACTCAAAAACATTATCGTTCGCATGGAAAACATCGTTATTCCAGCTGTCAATACAGCAAACTCTCTGCCATTTGATTTTCACACAAAAATACTCATGGAAGTTACATACTTCTTAAGAATACCTACGGAATTTTTAAATCCAAAACAAAAGCATTGTCTCTGCAACCATTCATTTCTTTCACCGTTTGATGATCCAGTTTTTAAAATCATTTCAATATTTTATGCACAGGCAATTATAAAATCAGGCTTACCTAAACGAGAGATTAATAGTTCTTTCACCTTCCCAATGAACAAGATAAAAGTTAACTTACATAGTGCCTCGTTGTAGAACGTCAGATAAAAAAAAAGAGATACAAAATTACTAAATCCCTCATACGTGCAATGAGAAATTGTGTTATTAAAGGCAAAATATGTTGACAATATTGGAAAAAACATATAAGCGTCGTTATATCTCTGAATTTTTGTGAGGTCGGTCCATCTTCAAAAATCAACTTCGAGAGTGCTGGGAATTAATCTCGCTGTCAGTTTCTGCGTATAATTTTTTGACCTATTTTTTAATCTGCAGGTAATGTCCTTTTTTAAATGTTTTAATGTGTTTCGTGATGATTACTTCACAGTGAAGTATATCATTTTGGTATGTAATATTTTTTCAACATTCTATCAATATTTTAAGGAGATTATACAGCAGGATGCGGCGCTAAAATATATTTTATATTAATGTAAGGTTTACCAAGAACTTTGACTATAAAATGTAGTAGCCAAGACTGAGTTCATATTTCATTGAAGAGATACAGATGATTTCAGTTTATTTGTCGAAATGTAGCAAAAGCTGTGTTTGAGACATTAAAACATGAATTTAGGTTAACAATTACATTCTATTTTTTCACATAATATGTAGAGGGAGCTAGTTCCACCCTAAAATCTCGCTATTTTTCGTTATAATCTGTCTGGCAGTCCTGTTTTGTTATGTTTTTTTTTTTGCATTTACTATGGCATTAGGTGATTTCTAAGTAAAAATGATTTACTGCGATTAACAAAATTTTACTCAATCTAATTGTTTTTTATCTCTGGGAGTGTGTGATTACTATGGTGAAAATAAATTTGTTGGCAAATGTCCCAACAGCATTTTACTATGGCCTGAAGTGTGCAATGTGATAATACAATAATTAGTTAAGACTTTAAAATACAATTTTAATCAAAGAATATTATTATATTGTGTCCATCTAGTAGAATAGTAGCTGTTCTACTACTTTTCATTTTAAATAGTGTCCCTATTTCAAACCGTTTTTACACAAAAATATGTAAATGCCCTCGTTTTCCCAGCAAATTCCAAAATATTTAAATCCAAATAAAACTGAACCATTGAAATTTTATAGGTCATAACGTTAAACAACGCCGTCGAATTTTCGCGGAACATCGCGCCCGTATGTTTATGGACGGGCGAAGAAACCCTGGACAAGGTCGTCGGAGACGACGGGTCCGTGGCAGGATGGGGCGTCAGCAGCGACGCCAAGCGGTCGGTCAGTCCTAACGCGAACTTCGTCAGCGTCCCGATCGTGGCGACCGACCAGTGTTTGTTCTCCAATTTGACGTACGCCACCATCACATCGGACATGACGTTTTGCGCGGGTGAGTGCATTGCGTTTAAAGTCGCAGAATCCAGGCAACAGCACAGAGAAAACGAATTAAATAGAGAGTTTTATTTAGATTGCCTAGTAGACATTTAGTCTATGATCGGAACCTTATTCACCAGCGCCACCGGGTTCTACGTTATGTAACTATTATTAAGGAATAAGAAATTAATAAATATCAAAATCATCAAATCAAATAGTTAAACTTCTATTAGGGGTTGGTTTCCGTTGGTTTATTATAAGAAGCCGTAAGAGGTACATCGACAGTTTAACTGAATTGTAACTGGACTGGTTTTTGTCAATTCTGATGTTCATGTCACTAAATGTATCCCTGTTGTTTTCCAAAAATCTACCCAAAAAACAATTGTAAAAAAAGTAAAGTACGCAACACGTTCGGTAATAGTAGATTATGCAACAAGTGCGGTAAACGATAATTGATTCACGCGAGTGATTAATAAACGAGTGACTTAAAAAGTGTACCAAACGTGTTGCATATTATACTTTTTCTTCTACCGTTAGTTTTTAGCCGTTGTATAATTAGGTATTTTACACAAAGGAGTAGAAAAACTTTTGAGTCACTCATTTATTCAGCACTCGCTCCGCTCGTACCCAATAAACGCGTAGCTTAAAGGCCATTTTCCACACTTGTTGCGTTATATACCATTAACGGATAAAATTGTTACATAAAGTTTTTTCTAATTTTAGCAAAGGATTTCAATTTTCTTTGTTTTTTGATTATTTGGACGCTTATTTTTCTGAAATCTGAAACACGATCCTCTAATTTGTTTAACGCCATCTTATTTTAAGTTGAATCACCTTTTTTATAACATATTAGAGGGTTAGACCCGAAAATAATGCCCTATGATGTATTCAGTGCATAGATAACATGACGCATTAGAAATATTTTGAATGAAAATGTCAAGTTGTCTCAGACAGCATTGATTTTTTTGTATAGAGAATAATGACTCTCCACGTATGCCGCTACATTTCACCCACTAACCTCTACTTTGCGCCATTTTCTTTCTCAACAGCGATTTCTACACACTTAAGTGGTTTTCCCAAAACATTTAATGAGAAAAAGATGCTTTAAAAATGCCGCATCGAAGCTTATTGACGGTCGGTCAGCGGCCATGTTGGTTAATGAATGTCCCAAGGTCATTTGTTAGAAACGAGATTTTAAATCTCGCGCATGCGCATGTCACCCATATTTTGACATGAGGAAGCGTTAGGTAATTTAGTACCAGCGCCGATTTGGTATAAATTACCATTGGTTGGTTAGTTGTGTAAGAATACTTTTCTGATTGTTTATTCTGTGGTTTTAGGGAGAAGGGATGGTAAAGGGCCTTGCATAGGCGACAGCGGCGCCGGCTTCGTCCTAAACCGGCACGGCAAGTTTTACTTGAGGGGGTTGGCTTCGTTGACTCTCAGCGACGAGGGAGGCCACTGTGACCTGCGCAACTTTGCTGTATTCTGCGATGTGGCGCGGTGCAAGGACTGGATCTTAAGTGCGATGCGCAAATACTCTTAGCTGCTTTCTATTTCTTCAGCGTACGTCCTAAACGTTTTAACTTCTGAGATACGGGGAGCTAAAGTCTTCGGGGAAAAACTTTTTTATGCATTATCGATTCTACAATCTGCGAGATTGGATTGAAATTTCTTCGAATGCAAAAAACTGGTGCAGCACTTACATTTTTGATCAGGTGAATATTGTGTTTGAACATTATCGCAAAAACTTGCTTGGTTAAAAAAATTAAATTAAGTGTTAAGGAACACCCTGTATAAAAATTGAACCTGCCGGTGTGAGATACTGATTGGGATTTATTTCCAAGGTCAATGTTGTTTGCAAAGTTTTTTCAAAGACAACGATTACTTATAACGGTATTAAATTGCTTTTTAAATGATGGTCGATTGAATGCTCCTTCCCCCCACGCCACTCCCGATGTAACCCAAATTATTTCCGCAGTAGAAGCAAATAAGTCGCAACGCGGAGCTTAAATGAATTTAATAAAAATGTATATTTCTGTATAACCTTTACATCAACAGTATTATTAAAAAATATATATAATATATTAGCCTAACTGAGCAAGTTGTCCGTTACAAGTCTTTTATCGAGCGCCGAGAATTAGATTTATCTAAAAATTAATTTAAACACCCTTTGAATAGGGAGAAAAAGCAGCCGTTTCATCTGTCCGTACCGGTATCAAACTGCGCTTCCATGCGTGACATCCGCAGGGCATTTTTGATGTATATAATTTTGTGCCATAACCCTACTTTTCGTATGACGCCTCATTTATATGGAATATATAATTCAACAAACCATAAAAAACGTTTCAAGCGGAAGCAAGCTAACCAAAACACCGAAATCAGCTGCTGTACGTAAAGTTGGTTGCCTATACCCATAACAGTAGGTGTGCTAACTTGTGGCTCTGCTTTTTCTCTCTAACGTCCGCCTTGGCGTTGAAAGTAAAATACCTAATCGCTTAATACGTATCTACGTTATTTGTACGTAGCGCGTTGCTGTCTTGCGGCGTTGCCGTCCTGACTAGCTAGAGATAATATTTTGAACACATTAAATTTTGTCGAAAAACCCGTTCCTCTATAACTTACAAAAATAATAAAGTACAAAACTAGCATTTACGAGAATGATGTTTCGCAGCCTCTGAGCAAGTTCCCATATTGACCTTAACCGGATAATATACCATGTCGCTGCTACTATTTACACCTTAAACCTAAGATATCACATTTAGATCGACTTTTTAGAACAATTAACGGAATTTTTTCGAAATTAGCGAAGAATTTACAATCGGCTTCAATTTTGATTGATTATCAATGGATTCAATGGTCCTCGACACCAGAGGCGGCATTTATTTTTACCTAATACCTCTGATTACGACCATTCGTATTTTAGTAATTCTTTGCAATTTCAATTTCTGCGATCTTTTTTGGAATCGTTTTTGGCATAAATGTATATCTATGAGACACATGGCCAAAAAAAATGTATTCGGAATTTTGAGGATTGCTTGAGTCCGGTCCTTAACAAATCTGTGCTAGAAAACCACCAGGTTTGTCGCCCATATTTAAAAGCATATTTGGTCCATACTATACGACATTTTCTTATAGAAGTGAAAATTGAATGTAATCTAAATATATTTTTGAATTTGGTACGAAATTGCCTGTATTTGTGCCAGACATGTACAGGGTGCTACAAAAAAGTAAGCCAACCGTTTGACGATATATGTTCCTTCTGCTAAAATAATGGCACTCTATGCCGCTCCAGTTGAAGAAACAACTTTAATTAATGTCTCAGCAAAGTTCATTTTAATTTTCACCTAAATATTCACAATTCAATCGGAATCAGATAAATCCAACAGTTTTTCGTGTTTTTCTCGTTCCTATTATTTTAGTCAAATGACTTGCGATTAACTTTTTCAAACACCCTGTATATCTAGTACTTTTATGACTTGGACGGATGCATGTCCGCAAGAAGCGCGATTGTAAACGAAGCTTTAGCGTCGAAGTTCGATTCATCAAAGACGAAACTAAAATATCAACGTTTTGCGTGAAGTCGAGACCACGAAAAACGACGACGTCGACCGTCATCATACTTCGCCGTCGGCGTCCACATCTTGGAAATCGAGCAGGGTGTAAGTTTCTCGCCTCGAGATGAACCTGAAACGATCCTCGAGCAATAATAACAGTGAACTCGGTCTGAGCCGGAATCGAAACGTCATAGATAAGCGAGGTAAATTTTGAAATAGAAAAAGGCGGCTAGTAATGTCAATGTATGACTTTTATTTGTTATTATCTGGTATTCAACCGATATGTATTTCCTTCTTTATAAAAAATTTAACTTAAAAAACTTTCGAAAAAGCAAACAAAAATGATATACATAAAATTGAAAATGAGGCTTTCTAAAATATATTAATGCACCTTGTATGTTTTTTGAGTATTTTCAGAAAAGGCTTAAGATGCATCCGTATTTACCTAAATTTAACCAATATTTTTAAATTTTTGTGACAACTAAATCACTAGAAAAAGAAAAATACTGATTTATTTTTAATTTCTAAATAAAATGTACAAGTATAGACTACAAGGGCAGCGCCAAAATAGAAAAAAAAAAACAGAGTAACAATTTTTTATTATTTTTCAATATAATCCCCCTTAACTTCAAGACACTTAATACATCTCTTTATTAACAGCTCAATCCCTTTTAAAAAAAATATTTTGGTTTGTCTGCGAAATGAGCTAAAACAGCCTCTTTTAACTCAACTTCGTCGTTAAACCGCCGTCCACGTAAGTCCTTTTTCAAATATCCAACCAAATAATAGTCGCTGGGAGCCATATCTGGACTATAGGGAGGATGATCTATCTGTTGGAACCCAGACTCTAAAATGGCAGCTTGTGCAAGACGCACGCCTCTGGTCAGTTGTCCTCGAGGTTTTACACGTACACGTAAGTGTTGCGTAACACTTACACTTGACAGTGTGTTTGTTGACTGGCAGACTCTGCATTTTTTTGCTTCATCCTTACGACGCCACTCCATTGATTCTTTTTTCGATAGAGAGTCATAATCGAGTTTCATCTCCAGTCACAATAGTTTCTATCACAGGCTTCGGTTCCGACCCACAGAGTCCCAAAAAAGACCGCGCCCACTCGACACGGCGTTGTTTTTGAATAGCCGAAAGGTTTTTAGGAACCCATCTTCCACTAACCTTTTGCATACCTAAATGATCATGCAGGATTCGACGAACACTGTGTCAGAAAGCTTAGTAACTTCTGAGATTTCCTTGACTTTTATACGTCGATCACTCAATACCACCTCTCCCACAATCGCAACAATATCTTCCGTTATGACCTCCACTGGTCGACCAGTTCTTGAATCATCGTCAAGAGACTCCTGTCCCATTCGAAAATGTTTTGCCCATTCTGTCACTACAGAATACGAAGGAGAACTTTAGCCGTACACACCGTCCAGCCTTTCTTTAATAATTTTAGGTGCTAACTAACTAACTCTTTTTCGGACACGTCTTGTTTAAAATGCTGTCAATAAAAAACTACTTGACGCAAGAATTCATTTTTTTTGCAGCCTACTAAGATACATATTAAAAAGAAGACGTGATACTGGAGCTGCATCTATTTCAGGCCGTGACATTTTGGCGCTAACCTCGTATCGTATCATACAAATGATAAAATCAAATTAACAATTTTCATAATCGCAAGAAAATATACTTTTTTAAATGATCACTGGATCAGTTTTTGGTTAGTTATAGCACCAAATCAGATCGTGTAACATGCACTTAAAAAATAAACCTTTTCGCAGTGTGTGGTGTGTGTGTGTGTTAATTTTATTATTTTTCGTGGCGGAACTCGCAGCGCCATCTACGTTGTAAGTAAGTAAAAACAGAGAGGAACGGCAAAACATTATAGAATAACGCAGATTGACAAGCGCTTGCTGAGATGCCTATTATTGCTTAAGTTAGTTTTTGGTTGCAAAATAAAGGTGACAAAACCATCCCTATTACTAGCCGCCTCATTCCAGACAAAATTTGCCTCACACAATCGATAGAATAATAATAATGTTCACCATCTGCGCGATCACGTACCTATTCGACGTGGTCACGAGCAGGCTGCTGCGCCGCCGCAAGTTTCTCATGCCGATCTCGATGGTTTGCTTCGTAAACGCGAGCGATTTGTACGCGTCGACCAGCACGCCCAAAACGACGCACGCGCCGAAGAAAATGAAACCGTACGTCATCAGGGGACAGCCCACCTCGGCGAAGGTCGTCGCCAAATAGATCCAGCGACGTATGGGCGGCGTCAGGTCGTCGATACCCTGAAATAAGCACCAACGAGATGTAATATTTAAAAACGTCGCCGGGATCCTACGACAATGACGTCATTTTTTTTATCTAATACAAAGAAAATACAAGAAAAAACTTAGTGTCTACAAACCCTGCCGGCCATTCTTTAAAAAAAAAGAAATAAAAATACTCCCTAGGAGAATTTAATTTAATTTAACAGAAAAAAACAGAAACAGGGAGAAGGGATTCCAGGTTGCCAAATTTCTCATTAGCATTTCCACCAATGAACAGCGACAACTGGATACTCACTCAAACTCGAGCAACATATGGAGAATAAGAGATGCGCAAAATCAATTGTTCCCAAAAACTGAAAAAGAGGAAAAAATTAGCACGAAACAAAATTAAAAACAAAATGCAAAGAAGAAAAAATCACACAAACAATCGAAAGAAATAGGAGGATGAAAATGGAAGATAGAAATATTTAAATTACAAAACCAAACAGGATAGAAAATATTTAATACATATAGTTTAAGAGTTCTAGGAATCAGGTTAATGTAGCGCAAATCAGAAAAATGCAAAACGTAGGAAGAAATCGAACACCCTCAAAAAAACAAAAAATCGTAAAGCTCTAGGAGAAGAAGGAGTAGCCATAGATTGGGAGGAGTTTTGTTGAGTATTTATCTATTTAACTGGTGTGTACTAAATCAAAATATCCCCCCATATGGAATAACGCAATCACGATTCTGCTATTTAAAAAATGGGACCATACTAACATCGAAAACTATAGGTCCATAAGTCTTTTAAGTTACCTATATAAACTGTACAATGTACATACAGCGCTTGAAGAAAGTAGAATAATCTATACATTTTCAGATGTCATCAGGTACGTATATGTAAACACCCTTTCTCGATTTTTCTCATTGATGGTAAGTAGAAATGATTTCTTCCTAAAGACTGATTTTTTTTGCATTTTAACACTTTTCATTCATCACAGTTTTGAATAATTGTTGTGTGTGCAGCGTTCTGTAAAAACGAAACGCCGCTCTCTGACCAGTCAGTCGAAAAATGAAACCGTGCAGCGCGGAAATATAAACAATAAATTATTAGCAATGCGTTTGTGTATAGTCCATCAAGGATGGAAGTGTGTGTATTGGTGCTGATCCGCGCATTCATACGTTGATTGTTTGGTTAGTATTGTGAACTGTTTTAATCACATTTGACTATGTGAAGATTTACTTTTGTTTTAATAAGAGCTGCAGATTGCAACATAAAGAAGATTTTCGGACAACACGTTCATGGGAATATTTTTAATAATAATTACGTTTTCATTGGAGAATGATAACATTTCAAAATATATACCGGATGGGTATTTTGTACAAACAGTTGGAAATATAAATCTTCGAACGGATCGACGTATTTCCATATTGTCTAGAGTCCCTGACTTTTTTTTACCGCTGGTATGACGTCGTTATCAATGAGTATAATTTAAGTTATCTACGTGCCTCCTCGATCCACATTACGGGAAACATTATGCTCGGAAACGTTTTCACCGACATGATGTACGGCGCCTGCTGCACCCTCAAGTTCAGCTGGATCCTGATTTTTCCTTCAAGGGGGACGCCCAGTTTCTGAGAAAAATAAAATGTGTCTGAATATTGAAATAAGTGCGCGACTTCAATGTTTACCGTTTGAATTTTGAAATACGACTGATGTTTCGCTTCGACCGGATCCAAACCGTCCACTTGCTTTATCAGGGCCGGATCCGCGCCCAAAAAGTGCGGAAACGACAGATATACAGGGGCATCTGAAAGAAAAGTGTCGCAATGGATTATTGATCGACTTTGTATGCGGTGGTCATTGTTCATTTGAGTCTATTGTTTGTATAACATGTATTATTTAGAAATAAAATAGAAGAATTGAGTTGTCACAAAAAGTAAAAATATAGTTTTTCCCAGTCAAAAAATATAGGAAAGTACACGTCTATTTTAATCTCTTTTAAAATAATATTCATCTAAGTATATCGATTTGCATGAGTTTTTTTATGGTTTTTTAAGAAGTTTTTGATTTTTTGTACAATTTTGTACAAATATTTAAAGAAAATATTGTTTGATCTCCAAATAATAATGTATAAATAATTCCAGCAAGAATATAGCGATAAATACATAACACCCCATCCTTCTGTTTACAAAAATGAGAAATTCCAGTTATTAGCAGTTTTTTTCTATGGTAAAGTTGGCTTCACTTCCATATCGCACCATCGAAATGCCAGTTTAAGCTGATTAATTATCCGATAGGGGGGATTCACGAACCACTCAGCTAAATCTAGGAAAAATCAGTTATTCACCAAATCAATGAACAATTCGAACGAGATAAGCTTTTTTTAGTTTCACCTTCAAGTGTTTTCATCCAACTCTTTGAAGCGGTATCTAATCTGGGCGGTTTTATCTCGCCCTCATTTCGCCTTTAAATAAACCGGAATCATCGGATCGAAGCAAGTGCAATATGATCGTGACAAAACTAACGTGTTTCCTGTGCCTGGGGGTACTCTCCGTCAGCGTAAGTACCGTCTATTAAAAAAAGTCTATTTACACTACTCCTTCTTCGTTAACACATATTTAGTGTATGAAGACTTTTCTGATAGACTTAATTAAACCGTAATTCCAGACGATCCCGGCGACCAGGGGGATATTCGACACCGTCGAAACGCTCCTGAAAACTTTCAACGACAACTTTATCACCGCTACCAACAGCGCGGACAGCGAATTGGCGGCCCTGAATGTCAGTTTCAACGCCTTGGGCCAGAGGACCAACCAGATAGTGGCCACCGAATTCCAGGCCGCCGCGGACGCGTTCCTGCAGCAAATCGCGTCCCTAAAGACGCGTGCGGGTGAATTAGGTGCGTAGACGCACGGAAACATGGCAATAAATTCAAATCGAAATTTATATACAGTGTGTCCATTTTTCATTGTTATCGCTAGTTATCTCAGTAGCTATTAGAGATAGAGCGATGCGGCCTTCGTAATACTGTGCTCGACTTTAGTGACGCAAATGTTCAAGTTTCTAAAACAATCCTGACGGGCTTTGTTTTTCAGTTACAGGGCGAAACAAAAAACTGACCTATTTCAATTAGCCCTTGTATTTTAAAACAAAATATAATTTTTTTTGAGGTCCTAATAACAAAGATACATTTCGTATATGTAGATTGTAGGATGTGGTATTAATGTGATTGCAGAGGGTGCACCGGATCCAGTTTTGCAAGTGTTCTATGAAAAAAAAGTCTGGGAACCATTGATTTAATTTTTTTTCAATGGCTTACAATATATATTTGATATACGCTTTTCTCAAATTATTTTAAATAAACAATAATAAATAAAATAAGAAAGAAAACAAGTATATTTTTTAATATATCAAAATATATGCTTATTTGAAAAATAATAAAAAAAAATTAAAAATGTATAAAAAGCGCAATCAAATAAAACATATGTGTTTCACTTAAAACAACATAACTGTGTATCTTAACAATAACAATATCTTTGGCAAAAAAATCTGAGTACGTCACTGGACTCTACGTAAAAAGATTAATAAGATTCCGTTTTCATCATCTTATTCCAATGCAGGGTGTTTAAAATAATAACAAGGGCTCCATACAAAAATGATACGTGATCGCTCTGTTGTGGAACAAATTGAATCAGTAAGAACAATTAAAAATAAGCAAAACATGCAGAAAAATCTTGCGGTTTTTTTTTTATTTTTTTTTTGTTATTTATTATGGTATTACTACTAATAAAAAATATTAAAGCTATTATCATTTTATTATTATAAGGCATGTAAAAAACGTCCACAATGCAAAATGGTAAATTCGAATGCCCATATAGTAAATCGAGAACTTTTAATTCATATAGTGGGTAGGGGTTTTAACCCACACCGCGTTATGGGCATTAAATTTTACCCACTCCCCGCAAGAACTGACATAATTAGGAATTCTCCGTTATAGTTGCGGAGCGAATGTTCGAAGTTCCTTAAGCCTTAATTCTGATACGTTGTCCATTTTCAAAGAAACATTTGAAAGCTTGTTGCCACGTGTTCGCGAAATATGACCACAGTGAGACACGTCTGGCGATTTCAGGGGTCGCCATAGACGACTGCGTCGGCAACAGCGAAACCGAAATCAACGAGCTGCCGCCGGCCGCGCGGGCCAGCGTGTCCTCCTGCGTCCTGACGGAGGTGTCCGCAGGATACGGCATCGTCGCCGCCTCCCGCGTCCAGGTATTTTCCGCGTCGGGACAGGGCGCGATTTTTCAAGAGGAACTGGACGAGTGCAAATCGGAGGCAGAAATCCTGCAGGCGGCCTGCGCGACCACGCTGGCCACCAACATCACGTTATCCATCGACCAAGTGACGCAGGATATCGATAGGCAGGTCCGGATCGCGCAGCAGTACACGGACGAGCTCAAGGACGAACTGCTCGTGTGCACCGCGGGACAGGTGGCGGCCGTCAGTTCGAGGGGCGCCCTTATTGTGGCCGAAGTCGCCGGCTGCGCCAACGAGAGGTTCTTGGACGCGCCCGAGCCGACGACACCCGCCCCGACCCCCGCACTTTTACCCACCATTACCCCACCATCCGATACTACACCGACAGATACTCCGCCACTGATCTAAGACTACCTAAACTGGATCCCCTCGCCTTACTCGTTGCGACGCAAGTTTATTTTTAAGTAAGCGAGGTTTTTTGTTAACCCACCGGGGGTATAAAATTCGATACTCAAATTGTAAAATTGTAAAAAAATAAAATTTCCTTTTTCGACTTAATTTATTTGTATCCATTTATTTTAAGAATTAAAAAAAAATAAAATAAATGAAATTCCGATGGGAACTTTTCGAACTTCTCACTGCTTTTCGTTTCGCTTTTATTTTGTTCGCTTTTTATTATCGAATAATAGTATATTATGCGACAAATGCGGTAAGCGTCATTTGACTCACGAGTTTATTTGACACGAGCGTTTGGAGATAATCAGATAAATAATCTAAAACAACATTTGTCCTACAAATAAAATGGTAGGTTTTTTCAGTCCTACTGTGGAAAATTTCGAAAATTGCCCGTAACTTAAACGTGGTTACATGTACATACTTGTATATTTGAATATACGTGTACACATACATACACATACTTATATCAAATCGGCGGTATGTATTCGCATCAGACGCGCATGCGCGTAACATACACAATATCCAGCACACGCATACAACATACATTGTGCATTAAAAAGTTTTGTTTACTTGGCTTGTCAACACGTGTTAATTAATTTTCTTTTATAACATTTAATTGTGAAAGTGACCATGGACCATGGTGTAAAAATTATCCACACGCTCGAGAGCATCATAACCACAAATATAATGATGCTGAATTGCCTGACCATTGGGATGACGATGTAATAGGCTACCACCCTTGTTGTTACAAGGAGTTCAGAGTAAAAGCTAAATATTTATGTTATGAAAGGTAAGTTTATGCTTCATTTTTTAAGTAAATGTAAAATGAAAATGTTGAATTTTTTTATTTTCGTTTTGTCGTTTAAGTGAAAAGAAAAAAAAAAGTAAAAAATGAATGATTGTTTCACGAATAACGGCATATTTTTTTCATAATTTTCATGGATTATAATACTTGTATTATAATGAATGGGTGCAATATATTAAAGTCAACAAAATAAAATTTTGATTTATTTACCCTCTCCTCTTTCACTTCACCCATATAATCACCTACTTACTTTTTCAAAAGTTTATCGATCAAATACTGTCATGATACTGATATGAGTTAAAAACAAGTAAAAAAAAATCCGGCGTGACAAAAAATATGAAAAAAAAAATAAATGTTGATTTATTATAAATAATAATGAAACAACTTAATTAAACTCATAGCATCATAGATAATGGCTGTAGGAATATTTTAAGAACAAAAAAAAAGTTAAACGCTCAACTAAATTTATAGGTTAGACCGTAATTCAGAGGTTAAGCAGGGATAATGTTCAAGAGGCGAACTTGCAGCCTATTTTTTGTCGGACTAGCGAAATCTACCTCTTTTTATGTAGGACATTAATCGATTTAGATAGAAAATGTGATAAAGTTTCATTTAATTTTGGTGTCCCACAGTTGCTGATGAATTACGTATTACGGTGAGGTCAACAACTTTAAAGCGTAGGGCTGAAAAATCCTACCAGTTTATTTGTAGGACAGTGTGGTCATTTGTTAATAAAAATTATAAGCAAGCTTTTTATAAATAAATAAATAAATAAATAATAGATACAACGTTGAGGGGGTGGCCACTCTATACCAAACCAATTTGTTTGTAGGCCAAGTTTAATTTCAAATTATATATTTCAATATCTATAGACTTAACTAAAAACTAAACTGTTATTAAGTGGGACACACTGTATAAGGAGTTACATATGAAAAATTGAAATACGTAAGCAAGTGGTTTCAGCGCGAACGATTTAAAATATTTTCTGTTTTTGCGATGACACCGATGTTTATTCCTATTTTTTTGTTTTTTCTCAAGTTCAGTTTTCCCTCTTCCCTAAGCAAAGTTTTGTATTCGCCGTACAAGGTGCGCCATCTAGCGGCCGTTCCAGGAAACATTTTTTTCTCAGGCCATACGGCCAATACTTGCCGACAACGTACCGTACTGACACGGGCTTATGTTCTGCAATCCCTTGGGGGGGCAGTACTCGTTGCCCGGACAGTAGCACTTGTTGTCCGGATTGTCCTGCACCGACTCGAAGATGTTGTCTGCCGGGGTGTACAGACCGGCGCTGATACCTGCGAAGAAATTATACAATTAAATAATCTACTTTGCGCTAATAAATTCCATGTTAACTTGTGGGATCGTAGGTAAAGTCTGTTCGTAGATATAAGTGACTAATAACTGATACAAATTAAGGAAAGACCCGGGCAAGCTGTAAGAATGAAATATGGCCGAACAGGTGCGTACTTTGCTTAGAATTTAATTATTTGGGGTTTTGTTAGAAAAGATACTAAACAATATTTATTACCTACTTAAATTACTTAAAATTATTCACATAATATATCAGTATCACTATCACTATCATCGCCTGTTCTAATTATTATTTGTTCTATATTATTTGCAATATGGATATACGATTGTTCTGATTTTTCTATATGTTTAACAGAATTTGCCCAACTTTGTGGAGGGATGGTGAAAACTTCGGTTTCTATAAGTTTGAGGACATTGGAGTTAACACGGGGAAAAATATTGTTACGACGAATGGCAGATTTGTAGAACCGCAATTAATTGCTTTTTGGTATAATCTTCGTGGAAATAAATGTCGTTATTATACATGTAGTTTTGGATTGTTGCCTTTGTGATAACTTGCATTGTCCATTACACTCACTTTCTCATATCTATGGACAGACCATACATATAAAACCAATTTTCAATGAATGTATGAATAAAAAGTTCCTGCTACTAATACAAGTATTAGTATATTCTGCGTGGTATTTACTTTAAAAATAAGTAGATGCTTGACTTCGAAGAGCTTATATTTTTTCCGTGAATGCAAAAACAAATAGCATTCTCCTAAAAAGCATAGTAGTATAAACTACGACTGGACGTATCTACATTTTTATACTTCGATTTTAATAGCAATTGTAGTATTTACTACGTCATAAACAAAATTGATATTGAGGGGCGAGAACTAATAATAAAATTTTGAAAAGTGACGCCATTTTACTATAACGGAAACCGCGTATTCTCACCGTGTTTGTTGACAAGTTTGCGGTACTGCATCGGGAATGTCCGGCAGAGGTCCTTGTCGTAGAGGAACACGATGTCCTCGTTGGTATAGTGTCTGGGTGGAAAAAACGAGCCCTCGCTCGCCCTAATGTCATTGCATGGCGGATCGTTCCAATAGGGCAGGGTCGTTTTGCCGTTTAGGCTCGTTATGAGGCCGAAGTCGGTCATGCCAGATGCCCCCGTTTGGATGTTGTGCACTTCGGGCAACGTGCCGTTTCGCTGCGAAAGCAATAACTTTAAACCCCAGCGTGCCATGAAACGCGCTCATTTGAAATTTCGCATTCAACCAATAAGACCAAAGGAGGCGTTCAACAACCAACATGGCCGCTGACACTTCGTCGTTTCGACAAGTTTCAGTTAGATTTTTATGCTCAAATCTTGTAAATTGTTCTGGGAAAATGATCTCCACTTTTACAGTTTTTACACCACTAGTGCCATCGTACTATGTGGTAACTATAGGTCTAAAACTCATCGAAAACCAAAAAAAAAAAAATTAATTTAAAAATATACATAAGGAGCAAGTAAAAACAATATTTGCTTACTCTGCGTTACTAAGCTTTGACTGTCTGGTTCATATAGTTATGTTAAATCAAAAATATGACTTGTAGGGTGTTTAGTTTTGTGCGGTATGCAACCCAACATACTCGATTATTTCCCTGCGACGGCCGCGTGGGAGAGGGAGAAGCATGTCGGGGGTGAACGAATAGAGACCATGTTTTGTTTTGTCGAGTCTTGTTAGTATTGTTATCTAATCCGCAGTAAAAGGAATAAAGTTTTTATGTAGTGATAACGTTATAGTTTTTGAACCAACGAAAATACAGTCCACCAATTTCCAACGCAACATAGGGATTAAAAAATATGTAGAAAAATAACATTCCTTCTGTGAAACAACGAAATTTAGTGAAGTATTTTCCTGGACTGAGCTAAGTTTCTATATGCTTATTACTTTTTGTTCCTTTCTTACCGAAATACAACAAAAAAAAAAATAAAATTTTTCATTCAAATAAATAATTCAGTTATTGCTGATTTATTTTTTAATTTATTTATTATTTATTGAAATCCTGCGTTCATAGTTTACGTTACCTAAGTTTGTTTATACCGTTAATAAATATTTTGTTTCATTTAAGGTAAGAGCTTTGTATGCAGATCAAAAGTCCCCTGTATCCCAGAAAGTTCTGCATGAAAACTATAAATTAATTGAAATTAATAAATTCATTTAAAAAATGTATAACAACGTACCATGTTTATTTAAAATAAGAAAGTGCGGACCTTCGGGAACAAGCCTTGGAACTATTATCGATGTATACTCTGGAATACCAATTTTTTTTGAAAAATTACTCTCTGAAAGATTTGTTTGTTTAATTAACTCTGTTCATCCTTCATAATATTAAATTGTTACTGAATGTATTATTCGTTTTTAATTTCCAAATTGTTTTCTGATCTGTCTGACAAAAGGAAGGCAGGAATGCCTAATTTTAAGACGAAAAATAAAACTTAATTTAATTAAGGTAGGTACAGTAATAATAACAATCATTACTTTAATAAATAATTGAAAAACTCTAAGAATTTCAGTCCAAAATGCTCATAATTAATACATTATCAAAACACATTTTTAAGAAGAATATGATAACAAAAAGGAAAACAGACTTTTTTCATATTTTTTGAGATAGATCATCGATTTTAAATTTTCCTATGAGCCCATATGGAATATTTTAATTATTGTATTAGCATAAAAAATGCTTTTAAAAGATGTATCAACGATGCATTTTTTCTTTTGAGAATAAGTTTGACATTTTAAAAGGTGCGATATTAATAAAATATCAACTACCAACAATATTAATTAACGAACAACATGTATTAATTATTGAATTACATTTCATAAATTTAAATTATAATTTTATTTGTTCCAATGTAATCAGTAAGAAAGATATTTTGTTTAAAATTTTTTAAAAAATCTTAAAATTTTAAAATTTATTAAGTATGTGCAAAAACATCTGTTTTCCATAAAATAAATGTTCTAATGATGTAATAATCGTAGCTGTATTTTGGGGCTTTACAAAGGTAGGAAATCCAACGTTTCATAATTTTTCGAATTTCCCATATCTCCATGCTATCTCATCCTATTGGACACACTGTATATTTAGAAAAAACACGGAAATTAATGTCGACTACCTCATTGTGCGCGTAAAAAATGTTATTGAAGTTGTTAAAATAAAAGTGGGAATGTAGGGATAAGCATTTTTACCGACCGTTATGAGCAAACCCATTTTGGCGGCCGGCCTCTTCTTCTTCGGATAGAAGTTGTGCGCCAAATTGACAAGGCTGTCGTCGTAGCCGAACACCAGCTCGTCCGCAGTGACGCTGACGAACGGTTTGACGGATCCCATGTTCAGCATCACCGAGATTGCTTTCTGCACGAACCACCCCAAGTTGTTAGACTGCGTCGACAGCGTCTACAGTGAAAGAAAAAAGCCGCCTAATGCAAATCGCGAGCGTGTGGCGCCATCTTTTGTCGAATTAAGGAGAAACAGACTTGGAAAAGCAGGTTCCACCATTCGTCAAAAGATGGCACTAGCGACAAATTACCAATAAGCCATCTCAACGCACTTGCACTAAAGAACAGTGTGGTGTGGTTTCAAAAGCGATTTGAAAAACGACTTACGAGCAGCGGAATATTCGGTACGGTGATCTTCAAGTTTTGATCTACGCTGAGCTCTGGGACGAACTTTAAGATCTTTTTGTGCTGAAAAGATACGGTCCCGTTGTCGTGGAACTTGATGTTGATTTTTTCCATATCTTCTCTGAAACCGAAACGGACGAGAAAAATAATATAGACATTTTTAAGAGATACAGGCGCGGCCTTCGCCGTATCTCGACGCGGAAACGCATATACAACTTGGATATTTAGTCTATACGGAAACGTAATAATTGTTGTGTAGGCGACTAGCGAAATTAAAGAAAAAAACGCTTGGGAGCGGCGTTCTTTTTTTACATTTTAACAAAGCCGCAGATTTGCGCAAAGATAAGCCGAACTATAAATGTGCGTCATCCGTAGACGATAACACCGCGGAATACCTAATGAGTTTAGAAACTTTTCGCCAGTCGACAGGCGACATTTTGGCGTGAACATTGTACGCCAAATTTTGGAGGGATGTTCGAACATCGACACGTCGACGAGTTTTGAATAATTGACGTGTATGGAATCTCAAATAAAGAAAACACAGATTTTCACGTAAAGTTCTATTTTTAAAAGTAAAACAAATACTGCCTCTGCAACGGAGAACCATAGAAAAAAAATGACCATCTTTTAAAAGTATTTTGCAAAAGAAATAGAGTCAACATCCGACACGGAAGAAATCCAGAAGATGTGTGACTACAAATTTCACTTCATTATATATCAGACCACCTGCAGTGACAAATAATAAAGTGACAATATCGATATAGTTAGTGAATGAAATTAACCCGCCGAGTAAGATCAAATCCTAACCTATAGCTAACGCATAACTAACTTCATCCAACCTCCAAATTGTATCAACAATATGTGAGCAAACAGAATAAAGATCATAGACCATTGATAACCAACTAACGTCATATGAAGCTTTCGACTTGTCGGTCAGTCGAAAGAACCAACTTTATAAATCGATGAGCAACAAACTATCAAAGTCGTTGGCAAAATGTTGTAGATGAATTTTTTATTTGAGGTTGGAAATTGTTAACCTCGACGCTCATCTATTCAGATGAGGTTTTGCGAGTGACCGTCCTTGACCCACAACCATATCGCAACAATCTTTCGCCAATTTGCGACTGATAAATCAATCGTTGATCGAAATTAAATAACACTGGCACTCCTAATTATTCCCCCGTGCATGCTCGCAGCTTAAGTCTATGTATAAATATCGTAAAAAACGATAAACAAAGCGTTTACAATTGCCCGTAATTGAGGCGACACGTTAAATACATAAGCGTCAAAATATCAGCAGCGAGCGAACGTAAGTTGCGACATAATCTGCGTTTTCTCTTAGGGCTAGAGTATCGCTCGGCTTATTGCATTCGATTACGATTGCAAACGACGCGATGTACCGAATGTCCCGTTTTCGATGTTTTGAGACTTGAAAAATCTTCCTCAATATGAAAATATTTTAATTTTGCAAATACTTTTTCATGAAAATAAATAAGAACTAAAAGTTCAGATTTTAGCGAAATTATATATTATGACATGACAATTGTTTCGACAACACCGTGTCTTGTTGCGAGAATTTAAGTTCAGTAAAGCGGTATTTAAATCTAATTGATCGTTAAGCAATACATTTGAATGTCTCATTTTGTTGATCTCCATGGCTTCCAATAAATTTAATTTTCTACTTTTTAATGTAATGTAATGTATCAAAATTGTCGTCAAAAATGTGTTTTTCTGTGTTTAAGTGTGTAGCATAATTAGAATCTAGACTATTGTTTTTAAACGCTCTTATATGTTCGTTAATGCGTTTCTTGAAGGATCTACCTGTTTGTCCAATATAAATTTTAGGACAAGATCCACATTTCAACCTGTAGACACCTGATTTTTGGTATTTTGGACATTTCGATTTATTGTTTTTTAAATATTTTCCTATTGTGTTGTTAGTTCTGAAAGCTATTTTTAAACCACATTTTGACAAATGTTTTGAAACTTTTTCGCTTTTAAATTGTTCGTGTTCTGTATTTGGTTTCGGATAAATAGAGTTTACTGTTGTCCGTATTTGTTTTCTATTTATAATTTTATCTATAATGGACGGATTGTAGCCGTTGTTCAGTGCTATTTGTTTAATGATATTAAGTTCTTTGTTGTAATTTTCTGTTAAGAGTGGCGTATTAAGAAGTCTGTGTATAAAAGAGTAAATGCAGCCATTTTATGTGTATAAGGGTGATTTGAGCTGTTATGTATGACTGTGTCCGTGTGTGAAGGTTTATGATATATTGAAAAATCTAATTTGTTTTGCACTTTCGTAATAGTTAAGTCTAAAAAATTATTAGAGTTATCCTGTTCAATATCATGAATTCAAAACTTAATTTTTTATTCATTAGCTTAAAAATCTTAAATACGGACCTGAATTTTCTTATTGCATAATTTATATCCGTTTTAGATGTTTCCCACGATGGTTCAGTTTAAATTTTATGTTCGAGGTGCTTTAACTTCCCTCTAATGTGTTTTATTATTTATTGGTCACAAAATATGATTTCCTACTTTTTCTACTGTTACCTACAGAACTGAAGTAGAGTTGCAGGAGTATTTTATCAAATGCGTATCGAGTTATCGGAGTGTAAAATGACTGTAATGAATGTAAATGTAAAGTTTGCTTTTTAGAAATTAATCGATTCAATAAAAATGTAAAATTTATGCGAATACGTTTATTCCTTTCATCCGTAACTACGAAACGCACAGCTTTGTTCATTATAACATAATAATTTATAATAATAATAATTATAACTTAGGCATTTAATGTAGACTAGCTAACTCCAAAAGCGTCGCAAACCTAACAAATCAATCGATATCGTAACTATATTAATCGAAGAAAACAGGACCAAAATGCGAACCCTGAGGTACACCTAGTGTTCGGACTCGTCAATGGACCATCATTCTTAACTGACCGGTAAGTTGACAATTTCTTAAAAATATTTTGAATAACATCTTGTAACTGTAGAGTCTTATCTATCATTATTTAATAATAATATGTATTATATAATAAATTGTTATGAGTTTGTCATGTCCAATTTACATATAACTCTCTTCAAGGAATATCCGAATACGATACTCAGCGATTCGAGGAATCCCAATAATAACAGCGACTCCATTTGGTTCTCAACGTACAGATGTCAGACAGTTGATTCTCACCCTTTGCTCTCGCTGGGAAAAGGATCTAGGTAGTCAACAATTTAAAAACTTTCCGCCAAAAGTAAGGTCACTTAATTTTGATATCAAAAGTTATGGTTAACCCTATCAAATGCCTCTGAAAAATTCGAATATATACGACTGAAAATTCTTTTCGGATGCACGTTTCCCGCACGCTAAGTCGATTGGTAATTAGGTATTTTACAGATGGTAGTATAAAAAAGTGTTATTCCAAGATTCCCGAAAAAAAAGATCAGTAGTTCCACAATCCATAAAAATCGGAAACTTTGGGCGTGGATGCGCGACAGTTGATCTACCCGAAACTGACTTCTTTTATCTTTGGTCTAACCCGAAATAACCCCGCCAATCAACGTGCGTAACCGCGTTTGTAATCCTCCGAATCGTAATCTCGAAATAATGTGAAAGTAATTACGTAATGGGCCGGAGAGTTGTTTTGAATCGGAAGTCTTTTGACCGGCCTCGCGCAATTTACGTAATTCCCGGTTATCGAAAAGTGTGTTTGTGGGACGACGGACAGCCGCGTGCTCAGGTCTCGGTTTAATTTGGTCCGTCCCTTTCCCGGCGGCGGACGCGTTAATTCCCGTCGATTCTAACAGCAGTTTCCATACCACCATTCGCGACCAGGAAAAGGATATAACTGTTGCTCGCGAGAAATTATAATCTTGTATAATGCTGGCGCATACCGACGCATATATACGTAATCATCCCAAAAAACAAATCGAAGGCAATTATTATCGGAGGAGTACAAAAAACGACACCGTTCTCAGACGAAAGTTGGTCAGCATTCCGGTGGATACGTGGCGGCCCAATAAACTATTTGCTCACAAAATGTTGAGTTTGGATTTAGTTTTGGTTAGTTTCGCATCTCATCAGTCGAAGTATACGAGCCCTAACAACTAAATGTTCGGACGATGTAAAAAATGATAAAAATAACATTTTTATATATATTATTACATAGCAAAATAACGGAAACATACCAAATTTGCTGACAAATAAATATTCGGACGCGAATGTATATTGACCAAGAAATCAATGGTACTCATGCATTGATGGTAAAATGTAGCGTGCTTAGATAAATGAGATGTCAGTTCGGGTTGTATCTTTCAAGTTTGTATAATAGTTGACAAGAAAATGACGCGTGGTGTTGTAACAAACAGAAAAGTGCGAGAAATTATCATACCTCAGTACTGCAGAGGTAAAATGCAAAAAAATTCAAATGACTTGAGTATTGCAAATTCAACAGTCAGGGAAATTATAAAAAAGTATTTAGAGACATATGGTGTTAGCGTTCGCGGTAAAAGTTCAGGCCGACCCCGTAAAATCACTGAAAGAGATCGTCGTATTCTGGTCAAGATTTGCAAAACTAGCAGACGAAGGCTCTTACTTAAACTTAAATGTCTCCAGGGAATGTTGTAGATAATGGATGCATACTTTTATGAGAGGCAAAGGAAAAACCATTATTACCGTATATTCAGAAGAAAAAACGTTTGGATTGCGCAAAATCTAAAATATCCTGGACAACGAAAACGCGGAGTAACGTTATCTTCAGCGACGAATCAAAATTTGATGTGTGTCTAGGCGATTTTCGAAAAAGGGTGATTCGTACAAAATCACAAGCTGTTCACAAAGATTGTCTAAAGCGGACGGTAAAATTTCCTCAGGGGATTATGATATGGGGGTGTGTGAGTGGTAAAGGGGTTGGCAACTACGAGTTCATTGATGGTACTATAAATGCAGAAAAATTCCAACAAATTTTATCAAGAAGTTTGATTCCATCAATGGGACGAACTTTTGGAAATGAAAATTTTATATTTCAACAACTGCGAAAACAACAAAAAAGTGCTTTGGGGACCATAATATGGCCACCAAGTAGTGAATGTTATTGAAACTTTATGGCATCGGATGAAAAAGACT